ATTTCAATTTGACCAGAGAGAGACAGAGTGAGAGAAAGAGAGAGAGAGAGAGGGAGGGAGAGAGAAAGTGAGAAAGCAAGCCACCAGGTCCAGGACTCGAACCACAGGCGGCCATGTGGGAATCCAGCTCCTTTAACCACCACGCACCTGCTGGACCCACTTACGCTAATTCCTTCATTTTTATTTGCTATAAGGTGCATGTGCTTGCTGGGAAGAAGCAGAGAGAGAGAGCAACGCCAGGGGGATGGGCCACCCCACAATCCCGTCGCCTCCATTCTCGCCTCGGGAGTTTGGACACACATGCACCCGCCACTGTGTTTTTCAAGCCACCAGGTCTGGGACTTGCAGCACTCAGTGGCCATAGGGAACCCTGTCGCGCCGATCAGTATACCACCTGCTGCCCACGAATTAATTTCATGAGACATGGCCCAAGGTTTAGGGGAAGAGCCCATGTTGGAGAGGAAAGCTGTTCTTCCCAGCTTCTGGGAATATGGAGGGTTAGGGAAGATACTCATGAAGGAGTGAAGGGGGTGTGGCAGGGGGTGTGGCGGTTAGGGGTGCTGGACTCCCACATGGCCAACCATGGTTCGAGTCCTGCACCTGGTGGCTTGAATTCTCTCTCTCTCTTTTGCTTAGTCTGTCTCTCTCTGGTTAAACTTAAATAAATAAATAAAGTTAAATAACTTTTTTTTTTTTTAAAGGAAGCTAAGGGGGGGTGATTTTATTTATTTATTTATTTTTTGGAGAGGTTTTTGCTATAGGGTGCGTGCACTCACCAGAAAGACAGGGAGAGAGACAGAGAGACAGAAAGCGAGAAATCACCCCCCAGGGGGGATGACCATGCTGTAATCCCTTCTCGATTCTCCTCTCGGGATCTTGGGCACGCACACACAGGTGCCTGGTGTGAGCTTTAAGCCACCGGGTTCGGGACACTAACCATGGTCGACTACATGGGAGTTCAGTGCCATAGCCATTATGCTAACTGCTGGTCCCAAACTTTAAATTTTTTTTTTTTTTGCTATAGGGCACGTGTGCTCGCCAGACAGAGAGAGAAAGAAAGCAAGAAATCACCCCCCAGAGGGGATGGCCACGCCGCGATCTCTTCTCCTCCATTACTCCTCTAGGGCTC